CACCCATATATAATACACTTACATATACATATGTACACATATATACACGCATGCACATACACATATAAAGGTATACACACACACATATATATACACATATACATATACACATGCATACACATGCACACATATACACACATACATATATACATAAAAACATGCATACACATAAATCAAAGCATACAATTTTCAATAAATAATGCAAAATAATTGTATGACTACAAAATAAATACAAAATAAAATTCTATTTATAAGATAATTTAAATGTATTTTATGGCAGCATTTAAATATGATTTCATTTCTTTGGTTCACTAGCAGGCAAATATTTTTATATTTAATTATTTTGATTTTTTCTTTCAGGCACAAATTACATCTATTTCTGAAGCTGTTAGGGGTTTGTAATTTACCTATAATCTTCCAATCTATCTGCAGAGTGAAGTTTCTATCATTTAATACCTAGAAATATTTAGAAAGAGCTATCAGATGTTTTAGATTCAGAGTCAAAGAAGCAATGCTTGTGATTGTAGAACCTCTTCTTCCAGATTGCAGCACAAATTCCAATGTATACTTTTTTATTATTTATATTTTCTTTAGGGAAAATGGTTGCTTGGTATATAACATTTTTGGATTTGCATATACCTCCAACTGAGCAGTTGTTTTTGTTCTACAATTACAAGATAGTTTGCTACCTGGTTGGTTATTGTTATAAAATTTGTTTAATATTTTATTTTATATATATATATATATATATATATATATATATATATATATATAGATATTGTGACGTAGCCATGATTTCATTAACTACATAGACGTAAGGCTAAAAACTGTGAACTTTGAAGTGACACAACGCAAGAATGACCTGGTTCCAAAATTTCACAGTTATCAGGCGTTTGACCATAAGTGAATTCCAGGCACCATCAGGATCTCCTGCTGCGATTCATGTGATCAGACCATACTAAGCGTGGATTGAACTTTTGGCCATCACACAAACACTGCGTGATTTGCGCCTCATCCTCCTGCGTACCCGGTCAAGGACGAAGGGAACCCATGTGACTGTCTTTGGGGACAGAAAAAATCTAAAGAAGGATTTTCAGTTTCCCTCTGACCAGTGGCAGTTGAACGTCGCTGGGCAATTCGTCCCTATTCCAAATAGACTGCCCACTGAAAGGAAGAAGACAGCAAAGTCTGTCGACTAGAGATGAAAGGACTGCTATGAAACTGAATCAACCCAACGAAACGCCTGTACGAAATGCTGTGGACCCCTGAACACTTGCGAAAGAAAAGGAATCTAGGAAAATCGCCGGCCGACCAAAATATTGTTTTAGCATAAGAACTCTCACTTCGGCGAATCAGAATTTTGTATGAAAATATCACCTTGACTGACAGATAAGTTGATTCTCTTAGCTTGATTTTTTTTTTTATATATGTATGTATTCACTCACGCCTTCTGTTCTTTCATGGTCCCCTTTCCCTTTGTTAAATGAATTTTCTTTTTTTTCTTTCTTTATCTGTTTATATATTTATAAATAAATGTTTTATTTTGAAATCCATCGTCTTGTGTCTGTTCTTCGTTGATTCCCTTGTTTCGCTTCCCTTTCTGAGTGAAGACCGAGAAAATATCCCACGTTTTCCTTTTTTTTTAACCCGTGGTTCATCTATATGCTACAAGTTTGTAACAATATATATATATATGTATATATATAGTTTTTCTTAACCTTTATCACTCTGTGTGTCACTGCATTTGCTGTGTAAGAGGTTTATCCTGTCACTGAAGGTGACTCTGATCCCTGAACAATAGTGAGTTTGAATTTCATAGTTGTATTGTCATATCCTGCTACAGAAACAACTGGCAACAGAAAACAACTTTGAGTGAAATTAACAACAAGTTTACTGGAATTCAGAGATCTTGAAAAAAAATTCAGTGGAAAGTGAAATAATATTAATAATGTAAAGTGGCAACAGTTAAACATGTATGAAATGTCTGAATTTCTGGAATAAAGAGTTATCATTATTTACATTATATACATTTAATGTCCTCATCTTTGTTAATATTATCAAAAAGTTTTGGCTGTTGTGCCCTTCAGTCTTCTTCATGTTTCTGTTGAACTCAGTAACCTTCAGGGAATTTTGAACAGAATGTTTTACTTAATCTATGAGGATAGAGTGTTCTTGTTCTGCTAGGGGAGATAACTCATCTTGTTCTTATTTAGTACTGCTTGGTTATTTCTCACCCTGTTTTCCCTGAGTCTAAGTCTGTATTACCCAAGCCAGAGATTAAATTCAGAATTACTATGCCACCATATTCAGAAACCAACGCTTTAATCAAGTAGGTTATTGTTCCATGAGACAAGCCTGAGCCTAAAAAACTGAATCATTCAACCTAATATTATTATTACTACTGATGCTGTTACACTAGACCTCCTTTGCTGCTGCTGTTTTTTGTTCTCACTGTTGCTTGCTGTGAATCTTGGCTCTCTCTTTGCCATTATTTATCTTTCTTTCTTTATTAATGGTTCCCATATTATATTTACCTGTATGCTACGCCTACTGAGGAGGTTGTCATAGCCTAGTGTATGTGCTGATTTCTTTAAATATCTGATTCTATGGTGTTTTTAGTTGAGTATTTTTACTTCATTCTATAAGGATTGATGACTATCCTTTTTCTTCCATATATGATCAGCCATGCCTGATTTTATTGTCTCACCCTTAATTATTTCTCCCAGTCTTATTTTAGGGGTCTGCTGGTTTCACCTTTGTATTCTTTACTATGGTGGTGGGATACACAGATTCTTTGGTTGTGATCTCTTCAGTGTTAGGCTTGATCCAGCAGAGATTGCTCCCTTAAGATTGAGCTGATTCTGAATATATTTGGTATGGGCAACAGAACTGAATTCTTTCTGACTAGCCCTTGACATAAGGAAGAGAGACTGTGGCTGCTTTTCGATCTGTTTGCAGAAACTGATATTATGTTTGCAGGGCCATTTTTATTCTGATCATCTTCTGTTGGCATGTATTTCAGCCATCACTTAAAATTTTTGCATGATATTATAGGCAAAGTTGTGATATATCGATGTTTTGAATTCATTCTCTGTGAAAGTTATTTGTACATTCAGCAAAGCCAACTGATCTTTGTTTTCTTAATTCATCATTAACTGGACTAAATGTCTTACTGAGATTTTATGGTCTAGCAATATTTACACAGATTTCCCATCTGGCCAGAATATAAAGGTGTCATTTACTGATCTCAGCTATATGATTAGCTTTAGTGTTTCCATTCTTAAAGCCATTTCCTTTGAAGTATTCAATGTATAAAAATGTAAATAATAAACACATGTACATTTTTAAAAAATCTTTGTTTTTTTTATATTATTTGTTTTCAATTACCTGAAGCACTCCGTATTTCATTGTTCTTTCTAAGATTAAATCTTGTTTAATGAAATGTATAACTAATGTGGTTGCAGTGAATGTAGAAAAATCAAGTCTGAACTATCACACACACATACACACACATACGCATGCACACCTACACAATTCCTAACTTGTAATATCCTCCTCCTTTTGCATGCACCTCTGTGTATTTTCTCTCTTTTGTTACTCAGTTGTATAGAAACAAAAATATAAGCTATTCCTTTGTTGAAATTATCTTTCATTTCCTTACACCTGTCATTTACATGTACAAAATATTATTGCCACTGCTTTTAATCTAACTAGAAGTAGTGCCTGCAACATTATGGCAACCCAGATGTGATTTTGACATGCATCTACCACAACATTTGGTGCTTCCTGACATGATCTTAACATGCACCTACCACAGCAAGTTTTTAAATATCGTCTTGCATATTCATAAAGAGGTGGAATCTTGAAGGAGTGTTTGAAATGGTGACTTTTATGTCATTGATAATTTGAAATGTTAAGTAGTATTTAACTGCATACCCACTTGAACAAAATGTGGCACAGCGTCAAGTTTAAAGTGTGAGCTCCATGCAGACATGGGGACAAAAACTATTTTAGTTGTCAGCATTTATATTTTGGGGATGCCCCAGGCACCATGGGTTGACCTTAATTCTCTCCCAAAAAACTGCCAAGAAAAATGGACCCTGGGGTTTGAACACATTATACTTAATTTTAAATCTGATGGGATTCTGGCATATATACGAAGGAAGAGATAAGTGGCTTCTTCTTTGTTTGTTGGGCTTTGAATAATTTACATGTCCATGTAATAGAGGGTAACTTGTTTGTTACCACTATTTAACAGTAAATTTAAAATAGTTTGTTAAAATTAATTATGCCACCATATAGGCTGCATAATTTATTTGAAAAATTGACAGGAACCCGTCTTATCATTGTATTTTTTTTTTGACAGTGTGAGAATTTAAAAGCTTTTGCTTTGAAAAATGTGAGAATTTGAAAGTTTTGTAAATATATTTAAAAATATATTTACAAAAAATGATTAAAATTGTGAGAAAAGCCATCAAAACTACAGCAGTGTTTTTAGGTTGACAGGTGTATTGGAAAAATAAGACTGAGTGTTAATCAATCAATAGTGATAAATTAAATATAAGATACTTCCGGTGTGCAGATTCAAATGCATAACATATTTTTATATGGTCTGGTAAAAAATGCCTTTGGATTTTTGTTATTATAAATTGCATTATTACCTTATGTTTTATGTGAAAAAAGACTCAAGTGTTTATTTCCACATAACCTGTTAGTGTGTACTGTATTTTTAACAGAGTTATTTGAAAAGTTAAAGAAAATGTTATTTCTTCTGTTATAATTTTCTGTCTTTTTTTAAAAATCATGATAATAATAATGATGTCATTATGTTGAGAAAAAAAGAATTTTGATGGTAATAATTCTTTAAGAATGGAATAGAAATATTTTTTAAATGAAGTGTTTTTTTAAGTCATTCAGTTGCCTTCTTCACAAATTTAAAAAGAGTGAGAAAAAAAGAGAAAAGAGGTTTTTCTTCTATCCTCATGCTTCTTCACATGTGAATGAAATTTCCTTATTATTATTATGATTATGATGATGACGACTTTGCCGGTTGTGGCGATCACGTGATCCCCCCCCCAACCAAAGCTCCGGCATTACTCAGTGTTACGCGGAAAAAGAAGTCACGTGACGCGCCGTTTACATCGCTTCTCCTTCATTGAGCGTGGGGAAAGTGAAATTCGTTCTTTTGCTGAGGGCAACCCAAAGAAAAAGAAGAAAAGTTTTAAACAAGAAGTGAAAAAAAAAAAAAAAAAAGTGTGTATGTGTGCGTGTGTGTAAGAGTGAGAGCGAGCGAGAAAATAAAGTAAAGAAAATAAAGGACGCAATATACACACACGCACACAAGTGTTTGTCGCTTCTCATTTTATCAATGAGACCGGGGAAGAAAATAAGAGAGAAATAATAAAAAGAAAAAGTCACAAAACTAAATCTCTACAACTGATCAGTGTTTATTGCCGTCTTATGTAATATCTTAAAACTTGAAGAGAAGTAAAGAGAGACCATTATTGTCCGACCTCCAAATAAACAACAACAACAACAACAGTCACAAACGAAGCAACACCGTCGTCGTCGTTCCATCCATCGCTCTTTCCTCCATCCATCCTCGGAAAGAAAGGCGCACCACAGACTCTTTTTTTTTTTCTTTCTTTCCTCGCTCATTCAAACAAACCAAAACCCAAAAAAATCTCACCGCTGTTAGAATCCAAACGAACAATCAATTGTTCTAAAAAGTGATTCTTTTTTTTTTTTTTTAGTGATCGAAAGAAGAAAGACAAAATGTCACTTCTTAGTATTCTTAATGCCGCCGGTCTTAGCTTAGATAAAATAATGGAATATTTGTGGCAAGCCGTAGATTATTTTCGGGAATATCCATCGCTGCCTATTTTGTGTGTCTTTGGAGCTACCTACCTCGCTTATTACCTGCTTTACGTCGGCAAGGTAAGTAATAAATAAAACAAGGAAGAATCAACCTCACAGTTTTTTTGTTTTGTTTTTTTTTTTCAATTTTATTATTGTCTTTATTGTAAGTAGTTGAGTGTCATTTTATTTTACTAAGAAGATCTCACCTTGAAGAAAAAAAGGAGAAAAAGGCTACAAATTTAAAAAACCCGTAAACGTTTCCCGGCCCCTTTTTATTATTTATTGAAAAACAAAAAAAAACAAAACTTTTAAACCTTTTGAAATAAATTGTTTCTATTTTATTAAAAGGTTATTTAAAATTAAAAAAATGTAGCGATTCAAAAGTCCCTAAATAAATGTTGGACGTCATACAATTTGAATTAACTCGTTTTTTGACTTTTTTTATTAGTAAAAAAAAGCAATGTGAAATTGTTTTAATTTTAAATTTATTTCAATTAAATTTAATTATGATCTCATTATGATTAATTAATACATTCATTAAATGATAAATTATTTTTGACTTGCGCTAAAATCCGTAAATTTGGACAATAAAGAAAATCATTCTCCTTCTTCCTTTCTTCATTGATGATTTCATTTTTACCGTAAAAAGAACATTCGACTAAAAACTAAAATATATAATTATTATTAATAATGGCTTTTTAATTTCTAACAATGAAAAGTGAATTTCAATTGCTTTGTTGTCATATTCCTACTATTATCTAATCAATTGTAATTTTATTTCTAATGGAAAGAATTGTTTTTGATTGTAGCTTTTGAATTACAAGGTTAGAAAATGTTGAGTGAAAAAATTCAATAGGGAAAGAAATAGAATTCTGATGTACAACAAAAATGAATTATTTATTATTAATAATCACATTATTTTTGGCTTTGTCTCTTTTAATTGTTGATTATAATAATAAACAAACAATAAACATTATCTTTTTAGATAATTTTTTTTTAATAAATGTACAACACGTATGAAGAATTTTATTTTCCGTTTCTTTCAATTTCTACATCTTTCTTTTACTAATTATTAATCTATTTGCGAAGATAAACCGTTTTTATGTAAATTTGTAAAATGATTTTAAAACTAAAAATAATTGTTTTATTATTGTTTAATGTTTGCAAATTGTTGTCTGCTTCGTTGGATTTTCTTCTTCATAACCGGCTTTTCTTTTTTTCCTCATTTTTCCGCTCATCTTGTCTTCTTTTTCCTTTTTTTGACAGCAGTTCAAAATGCAATTGAATTATAAAAAATAACTTCTTTAAATCTTTACCAAGAAGAAGTGTTATCATTTTTATTACAAATTCAAGTCTTGTTTTATAAATTTTGAGTTTTTTCTAAGTCAAATATCCAATTTGAAAGTAAAAAAAAAAGAATAAAAAATCATCATTTTTAATTTCCTTTTAAAAATTAAAGCAACTTAATTGCCGAACCTCAAAATGAAAAATGATTTTTTTGCATATAAATGATTTTTTTATTAATACGATTTCCAAAATTAAAAAAAACATTTCCTCAATACAGACTTGAAAATAACAGTTTTCAATTAAAAAAAAAAGTGTTCATTGTCTGAGCTGCAAAATTATAAAATCCTAGTTTACTCACGCTGAAAATGCAATCAAAAAATGAAATTAATAAATGTTTAAAAATTCACTAACAACAAGCAATTGTTATGAGTTTTCAATGAAGAAATCAAAATGCCTTGTTTATATCGCATACTTTGGTCTTTCCTAATTAAGTTAATAAACATTTTTAGGTGATAAAAAAATTGTTTATCAAATTTGGAGCCTTTTTTCGTCAGGGTATGTTCTTTTTTAGCCCAGTATTGAACATATCGATTAAAGGAAAAGTCTTCTTATATAACGAAAGTCTTCTTATTTCTTCTTGCAAGACCCAAAAACAAAACAATCGAAACGTGTCTGACCCCACCCCGCCTCTCCCCGGGGTCAAAACAAACACTGAAGAAGGCGGACGATGAACCTGTCTTTTTTGACTCTCTCAACTCATAAACATCATATTTATTATTTGTCAAATACATCTTTAATACGTGAAAAGCGAAAACCAATTAGTTGAACATGTGAATTTATTAACCTAATTAATTTTTATTTAAAAATATTAAAGGTTATCCATCTTAAAAAAATAAATTTATGTCCAATTTGTCATTTTCGTTATTTTATTTTTTTACAAGAAAAATAAATGAAAGAAAATTAAAATCGCATTAGGATTTCATCATTTTATAATACATTTTACAATTTGCATTTTAAAAGTTGAATGGGTTGAATCTAATTATAGAGGAAGAAAATTAAAAAAAATTAGTCGTCAAAAAATGCTTTTTTTTATTTTTTTAGCTTTTTTAGTAAAAAAATAAAAAGAAAGCTTTTTTAAAAAATTTTTTGTTTTATTGTTTAAAAAAGCTAAACTTGAAAATTACTGATAGTTTTTACTTTTGCTTTTTAGTTTTTTTTTTTTTTTTACTGAAGTGAAAAGTTTAAAATTGAAAGAGGAAAATGTTTGTTTTTTTTAGCAATTTCATAAAATACCTAAAGAGAAAAAGTGTTGTTTTTGTTTTTGTTTTTTTTTTTGCTTTGCACTGAAAAATTAAGAAATCGAGATTTTTTTGATTTGTGGAAGAAAAAGGTCTTAAAATTTGGTAAATGACAAACATTCTTCGTCCTCAAAATTAAAAGGAAAGGAACAATTAATCCAAATTCTTTAGTTTTTTTCTCATGTTTCAGTTTTTAGGAATGTTATGAGGATGAAAAAGAATAGTATTCAAATAAAAAAATGTAAAAAGCAATATAAAAAATTTAAATTGAGAAAATACTGTATGTAATGTATGTAAGAATTGAGAGAGATGATTTGGTTTATTTTTGGCAATCTTAACCGACTAATAAAATAAAGTTTATTTTAATAAACTTTGTTGGTTGTGAATGAAGAAACGTCCCCACCTTGTGGGGTTGGCCAGACACTTTTGGGGGGACCTTCTTCTCCTTTCGCTTGTTTTGCACAACAAAAAATGTATTATTCACTTGAATTCAATCGATTTGCAAAAATGTCTCGCCTTTCGATTTGCAGTTTTTTTTTCTGTGTGTGTCTAGAACTCTCTCTCTCTCTCTCTTCCTAGAAGTCGATCAACAAACATAAAGTCACTTTTTTTTATATCATCATTAGAGTCAGAAAATAACTCGTTTGGCATCAGGGTCATTGGCACTTTTTTCCTTTAAGAAGTGTCTTCTTCGGGTTCTTGAGAATTTAGCAAATAAAAAGAACTCAGCAATTAATTGGGGGAAAATAATGATTCAGACCGTATTGTTTGTTGTAACTTAGGTTTAGGTTGTTTTCATTTCAATTTTTGGTCTTTTATTGAAGAATTATTTTCTCTGCAAAAGAAATTTATTTGGAAGATTATCCATCAATGGTTGATCGACGATTTATGAAAATAATGTACGGTACGTTTGTTGAAGAGAATATTTGAAGATTGTTTTATTTTAGATGTTGTCTGAAACCTCATTTTATTTTTGACAAGGATTCACCTCATACAAATGAATAGGGTTGACTATCTCATCAATTCTGAAGTATGTTTAGTTTACTAAAGCAATTTACAGCTAAGCTACACAAAGCATTGTTTTCTTTGAAAAGGTCATAGATCAACGATATTTAGTCACCCCCCCACGAGGGCATCACGTGGCACAAGGCCGGTTTAACGTGGGATCTCCGAGCCCGTGGGCTCGGCCAAAAATATGCCAATTGAACCCGCATAAATGGGTTCAGGGTCGGTTTACCTCCCCGAAAGAGAATCCGCCCTTCGGCGTAGCCTCTTTCGGGTTCCTCCCCGCCCGAAGGCAGAGAGTTCAACCGATCAGCCATAGGTCATAGATCAACAAGCAAAAGTTCAATGTCTCCTCAGAAATAGCATTTCTAAATCATGAAGCTTGTTGATAATCTCAGAAATGAACAACCTAGGAATCATTTCAGGAAAATAATTATATAATGTTTTTAGTGGATTTAAATTTGGAGCTTCACTCATTCATTTCTCTTGATATTTCAATTATTTTAAAAAATTCATTTTAAAAGATGTTCTATTTGTTAGAATAAATGTGAAAGAATCACATGCAAATAAAAGATGCCAATTGTGTGGCTTCAGGTTTCGTTTATTGAAAATACCTAAGTTAAATCTTAAATTGGAAGTGAAACTAATTTTTGAAATGATCTGTAATTAAATCGTTTATTCATTATCTTGACTAGCTTCATTAAGTTCATTAGTAATTTACGTTAAACATTTTGTAGTCTTTGTTTTTAGTTGTCTGATTATTTCATCTTCATTACATTATCTGTGTAAATTCTAAAAACAATTCAATAAAACTTCCAAAAATGTGTGAAGTGAACATTTTCCAATTCACCTTTCAGCTAAAAACTTTCTACACGTTACTTAAATGATAAATGGAATTTATATTTTTTTACCTGATCATTTGATAAGATCTTTGGAAAATCCACAACACACCTTTTAAAATTTATAAATTGAATATATAACAAATCATCTGTTTGAATAAAAATCTTCAAATTAAACTTTGAGTCTGTAATTATGACTTAGCTATTTATATATTTTTATCTCTAGATGAAAAATCAATGTTATTGTTATCATTAATGCTGTTTGATTTATTTTTCATAGATTTACTTATGGTTTTAATAGTGAAAGGCAACATCGTTTGTAGCTAAATATTATAGCAAATATTTCAAATTTGTTGAAAGTTGTACAATGTATTGTTTTAGGAATTGTACAGTTTTTTTAAATCTCAATAGCTCATTACAGAGAGAGAGAGAGAGAGAGAGAGAGTGTGTGTTTGTGTGTTCAAATAAGAAGTGTCATGCACATAGGTAAGAAGGGATAAGTACATCAATATAGAGATGATATTTGATTTTTATTGCTATTGAATTATTTTTTAGTTGAAGGATTTTAAAATAGTTTCATAGGCTTTATTTTTTTATGAAATGCAATTTTTTTTTCTTTTGTGTATGTTTAGTTTTTAATTGATTGAAT